GATGGTTTTGAGTCTTCTGGGTATGGGAAAAATAATCAATTTTCTGCTGTTATGAAATTAGAAGCAGCCTCAAATGTTAGCTCCAGCTCCCAGAGAACTGTTCACCTCCCCTAATGGTTATCAGAGACTATTAACTCTGGGATCTAATTATCTTCATGTAAATGCTAACATGGTTGATTATTTCACTGCAGATAGTTGAGGGGAAAATCACCCAGCTAGTAGGTACCTCCTCTGTGGCTGAAACAGTCTGCTGTGTATGGCGCTGCCTTCATTTGAGAGAATCATCAGAGATAGCCAGCTTCTTTGCCAGCTCTGCTTTCGAGTGAACGCTAAACAGTATTCCTTTAAACACTTTAAAGGGGACCAAAAAGATAGAAATAGAATCGTTTTTGCCCAAAGGGAGCTTTGAGAGACTGTTGATTTCTAAGATGCCACAGATACACAGTTATAAACACGCCATCCTGTGGAGCAGGCTTCCATTTCTGATTAGGTACAGCAGGTGTGAAAACCAGCGTTCCTTCTCCTCCCATCTCCGGCTTAGGGAACACCATCTTCCTTGATAACTGATAGAAAACCTGGCAAGGACTATGACAGCGTTGGTGTCAAATACCTAGCCTTGCAAGCCAGCCTCCTTGCTAACCTTTTTCTTCTTGACACCTCTCGGAGAGCTCCCTCGTCCCACCCCAGGGCTTTCCCCATATTTGGGACAATCATAGAAGCATTAATGCGTGTACAGATTTGCATCAGGAAGATAGACTCAGAGGTCTGGAAAAATGTTCAAGAAGGCCGTTAACCTCTTAAGCCAATGTAACTGGAAACACGTCCTCAGAATACCCTGCAGGTGGACCTTGACTTTTTTTTTTTTAAGATTTTATTTATTCATGAGAGAGAGAGAGAGAGAGAGAGAGAGAGAGAGAGAGAGAGGGAGGGAGGGAGGGACAGGCAGAGGGAGAAGCAGGCTCCAAGCAGGGAACACGACGTGGGACTCGATCCTGGGTCTCCAGGATCACGCCCTGGACCGAAGGCGGCGCTAAACCACTGAGCCACCGGGCTGCCTGGACCTTGACTTTTCACACAAACAAGCGGAAGCTTGTGCTAAAGCTGGTGCTCCTGGCCGTGTGGTTTCATCCCAGCCTTATTCAGGTCAGCTTGCGCTTCAGCCTCCCTCTCTCTGGTTGTCTTCCCCTCTTCCCATTGTTCTTTTCTCTTTCCATTTGCTGCTTTTCCCACTTGCTTTTGTAAAACTGCTTTTCCTAAGCACCGGGGCAATGTCCTGCCATCTTTGTCACTGCAGAAAGTTTTAAGAGAGAGACAGCCTTAGGCAAAGCTGCTGGTAGAGAATGTGAACTCAGCTGCACCGCCCCATCCTCTCCGGGGGCGGGTTGGGAGAGGGGTGTCAGACCGCTGGGGGTCATATGTCCCCAAGTTACTTCTTGGGCCCCATGTTGGAGGCCTTGTTCTTTGATGATAGATTGAGCTGCCTTCCTCACAGTGGCTCCGGGAAGCTCACAGCTCAGGTCCTGGCCCACCTCTAACAGACTACGGACCCCTGACCCCTTTTGTCTACTGCCCCCCACCGCCAGCCTCATTTTACTTTTTCTACTTAAGTTTATTCTAATATATACATTTGAGTCACCTGCCTCAAATTCTCTTTGAAATAATCAGCTTAAATAATCAAGTTCACAAAAACATCTTTGCAAAGCTATTTCTTACCTTTTGTTTTTGTTTTTAAAAAGGTGTGTTCTGTTGATAGTACTGTTCTCTGGCTACTGGCTCAATCTGTCTGACACCCTACCTAGTGACCCTTTTAATTACTGATCTGCTCCAGGACAAATTAAATCCCACACGTAATCCCCAAACCAGCCTAACATTGAGACAATTTGAGCCACTCCCATCTCCTCAAAGCCTCTGTATATGTCAAGTATGATTGCTTCTTAAGGGAACAGAGGATTAAGTGGGTACTGAATTATCTGTAAGCATACACGTGCATACACGTACACCTGGCGTTTACTTGGTTAGCCTGTAGCATGAGGTCAAGTTCTGTGGCCTGCTGACTCAGACCGCTGGGGCTGCTGTGGCAAATCACCATAGCCCGGGGGCTGAAACTACAGACCCTTCTCACAGGTCGGGATGCTGGGCTCTACCATCGTGGCCTAATCACCTCCCAAAGACCCTGCAACCATCACATTGGGGGTTAGCCTTCAGCATAGGAATTTGGGGGGATATGAACATTGGTGCACAGCATTCCTCCTTGGTCCCCCAAAATGCATATTCTTCTCAAATGCAAAATTCATTCTGTCACAACAGCCCTGAAGCCTTAACCTGTTCCAGGATCAGCCCTAAAGTCTCGTGTAAATACCATCTTAATCACAGATAGGGATGAGACTCTAGGTTCAATTCATCCTGAGGCGACCCAGTGAAAACAAACAAATTACATGCTTCCAGGATATGCTGCTGGGGCATCCCCCATTCCAAGAGAAGTGGGCAAGAAGGAAAGGGTGACAGGCCCCAAGCAAGTCCAAAACCAAGCAAGGCAGACTTCGAGAGATCTCCAGGCCTGGGAGTAATCCATCTCGGCCGGATCCTCTGCCCTCTGGGGCACGGTCCACTCTCTGGACCCACGAGGCAGAGGTCCTGCCCCCACAGCTCCACCTGGCGCACAGCCCTGCCCGTGGCTGTATCCTCGCAGCTTTGGGCAGAGTCCACTGGGCCTGTTCAAAGCAAGGCAATGGTCCTCCTTTTTTAAAACAAGCAGACAGCCCTGACGATCTCTGGCTGGCCTTCAGGATCATTCTTCTCTCGTCTGGAAGAATAGTGCATGTTCACAGCCAAATAACTCCATAGTTTTGTCTGTAAAATCCAGAAGTTCAACAGCCTCCCTTCATTCCTTCCTGTGTCTTTCCCCTTCTGTTTAGTTTTGTGGTTTATCCTGCTGGAGTAGCTGATTAGGTCCATGGTTCCCACCACACGAATCCCCTTAGCAAAGCCTCACGTGGCCCCATGTGGCCTCAGGTGGCCGTACCCTCTGTGTTCTGTTCCAAACACGTGCTCATTTCCTACAGTATGGACAGCCGAGAATTTCCAGGTCTCTAAGTTCTGGCTCCTTTTGGTCTAATCCGCCTTTTTGTTGTTTCTCTCTTCTCTCATTTTACTCGAAGCAGTGGGGAGGAACCAAGCCTCGCCTCGCCCTTGGCTTAGTGACCTCCTCAGCTAATACCCGGTGTCATTGCGTGCAGGGTCTCCCTTCCACAAGGCACTGGAACACGCACACTTCAGATTGTTGGCCACTTTGTAACAAGGGGTTGCCATCTCTCTATTACCTGATAACCAACCGTTCCTCATTTCTGTCTGAGAACCCATCAGAATGGCCTTTACCCTCCGTATCCTACTACCCTTGTGTTTGCGATTACATAGGTGTTCTCTCAAGACAGAAGCGCTCTCGCTCTCGCTCTCGCTCTTTTTCCTTCGAAGCTCTCACCAGCGTGTGCCTGTGAGAGTCCAGTGGCGGCTGGACACTACTCTGTGCGTGACGTTTTCTTTATCCGTTCTTCCATCACGGAGACTCAGGTTGCTTCCGTATCCCGGCTACTGTGAATAGTGATGCAGTGAACGTGGGTGTGCAGATACCTCTTCGAGACACTGATCTCTTTTCCTTTAGATATATACCCAGAAGTGGAATTGCTGGATCATAAGGGAGTTTTATTTTTAATTTTTGAAGAACTACCAGGCGGTGTCGCCTAGCAGCTGTACCCATCTACATTCCCACCAGCAATGACAAGGGCTCCCTGGTCAGCACATCCTCGCCAGCACTTGCTGTCTCTTGCCTTTCTGATAACAGCCATTGTAGGTGTGGGGAGGTATCTCATTGGATGACTTTGATTTACATTTCCCTGATGCTGAGCGCATTTTCATGTATCTATTTGCCATTCCAAGAATATCTTTTTTGGAAAAATGTCTGTTCAGGTCCTTTGCCCATTTTTTAATTGGACTGTTTAATTTTTTGCTATTGAGTTATATGAATCCTTTATATGTTCTGAATATTAACTCCTCATGAGGGGCTATAGATAGCAGATCTTTTCTCCCATTCTGTAGGTTGCCTTTTCAGTGTATTTGTTGTTTGCTCTGCAGAAGCTTTTTAGTTTGAGGCCGTCCCACTCGTCTATTTTAGCCTTTGGTGCCTAGAGCTTCAGGTGTGTTTTAGTTGTGGGGTTAGAGGAGGTAAGAGAGAGAATTATTAGCTACTTCTGCCAGAGGCGTTTGTGCTTTTCTCCCTCTTCCCTTAACCCCCTGATCTTTTTATCCTCCCTTCCCAGGCAGTATTGTGCTGGCTACTAAGCATATCAGACTCCCTGCCTGCCTCGGGAAGTTTCTGTTTGAATGCTTGTCCTGTGGGATGCCCTGCTCCAGTGCGCTTCTTCTCTACTCACTCTGTGCCTTTTAAAATCCCCGAGTTCTTGTTTTTTAAGGTTAAATAGGTTCCCAGCAATCCAAGGACTCTGGGTACAATAGGAAACACTGAATAAGAATAATGGCTTACCTTCCACTGACTGGTTCGAGGGAATGGTTCTTTTTGACGAGGAAAAAATGACTTCCAAACACTCAGAATTTTATTTGGCATCTGTTATGACTAAAGATATGCTCCCTCTCTGTATGTGTTAGTTTGCTCAAGTAGAAAGTAAGAGTGTCGGTTTGCACAGGATTCTGAAGCCGAGTGGTGGCACTGGGCTCCGTTGGGTTTGGGCGGGAGGCTGGATCCGACTCTGCCAGTGGCACCGGGCTCCACTGGGATTGGGTGGGAGGCTGGATCTGACCTCTCCCCAGGGCTGCTGCCCTTTTTGTCCCTCCACCTTTTTGCTCTTTGGCTTGTAGCTCCTCCCTTGGTTTCCCTGAAGACTGCAACAAAATGAGTCTCTTTCTCACTGCTCACCCACCCTCTGATTTTTCACTGAAGTTTTTTTTTACCTTGCTCTAAATGAAAATGGCAGTAATTTAAAAACCAGCAAGTTTCAAAAGAATTTATTACAGAAGGAAAAAGCTTTGAGTGTTTACAACATACTACAGTATTTTATTTTCACAAAGCAAAATGCTTATATACAGCATGAATTATTAACCGTAGTGTCATCTACCTTCATTTTGTAGCCAGTATTTTTTAGACAAGTTAAAAGAGAAAGCTCTTTGAGCCCTTTCCTTACAGAGTAAAAAATAAAAATAGATATATCTGTATTGACTGACATTTTAAGGCAGTTTTGTGCAAGCATCCACGAGGGACTTATCCCCACCCCGTGCTGGAACTCTCCAGCCACCACTAGACCCGCTTCTGCCTTCCAGCGCTCTACCCTGATTGAGGTGGAGCAGGGAGGTGCCAGAGGCCGGCCACCAGGCCCCGGCCCAGAGATCCCTCTGGGGCAGTCCACCTAGGTCCACTGGGGCTGAGCCAGTCCAACCTGGGTCAGTCCACCACCAGTGGAATAATTTTTGTCTTTAAAAAAAAAATGTAGACTGAAGGTACTTTCATCGGATTTGAAAAATCAGAACTCTCCTACACCGCTCTATCATGCCTTTTCTCTAACACCCACAAGTCCTGTCTTTGAGGATCAAAATCACATGGTTCTTTTTAGGCAGCGGATCTATTTTCTGCCCTCCCATGACCTGGGCCTTCAACTGAATAGCGGAAGTGATGTCATAATTACCTTCCTTTCACAGAAACATCAATGGAAAGAAGCTTTTAGTGAATATGTCAGGGATCTGAAGCCAAGGGAGCCCACTCAGGCCAGCCCCCTGAGAAGTACATGTGGCGACCCACCGTGTTAAAATAATTCATCCCAATTAGGTAACACCCTTGTACTTAAATTTTATTGTGCTCCTGAGAGCCTGACTCTCACCAGTGACCACAGGCCATTTTCCATCCCGCTGTCCATCCTGCCCTCTCCCCACCTCCCCCTCCTCCACCCTCACCCAGCCTCCATGCATCCCCATCTCCAGCCCTGCCGCATAGCAGGCCCCCACTTAGGGCTGGAAGTCTTCCGGGCGGATTTTCATCTCGACCCGTCTGAGGGAGTAGCTAGACCCGTGCCAGCCGTACCAGGTGATGCCGTCCAGGTGCTTGTTGTGCTCACCGAGGCGGTAGTACACTCCGTTGAGGTTAGAGTCTGTGCAGCAGTTGTACCAGTAGCCACCTGGCACGAGAAATAGATCGGGGCCGTTGGGTCGGTAGGCTGGGTGCATCCTCCCCTCGGAAAGAGCTGACACTGGACCTCGGGATCTGTGACACTGCTCTTGGAACAGTGGCTAAGCAGTTAGAGCCGGTATCCGAGAAAAAAGTACCAAAGCCAGAATACCAGCTGTGCGGCTCAAAATCCATCCTCTTTTCAAAATATTTTTCTAAGATTTTTTTTTTTATATTTTATTCATTTATTCATAGAGACAGAGAGAGAAGCAGAGACACAGGCCTTAGAAGGAGAAGCAGGCACCATGCAGAGAGTCTGACGAGGGACTCGATCCCGGGTCCCCAGGATCACACCCTGGGCTGCAGGCGGCGCTAAACAGCTGCACCACCAGGGCTGCCCTCTAAGATTTTATTTATTCATGAGAGACCCAGAGAGAGGCAGAGACACAGGCAGAGGGAAGAAGCAGGCTCCCTGCGGGGAGCCCGATGGGGACTCGATCCCAGGATCCTGGGGTCACGCCCTGGTCCCAAGGCAGATGCTCCACTGCTGAGCCCCCCCGGGCGTCCCTCAAAATCCATTCTTCTCAGATGGGACTGCCCCCCGTCCCCCAGATCTCACCTTTGCGGAGTTGTGCGCACTTGTCTAAGCAGTTGTCGTTGTCCTTGTCCTTGGTGCTGAAGGCCGTGTTGTTGTGGTAGAGCAGGGCGTCGTTGCCCACGTTGCCACTGTAGTTCCCCAGGAAGAGGCGGTAGCTGTTGAGTTCGTTGCCCAGGACGAAGCGGCTGTACTCCGCATAGCGCACGCTGCCCTCCCAGTCCTGTCAGGGGGAGGGGGGCAGAGCCTTAGGGGCCCTGCAGCGGCCTTCATTTCCCCCCATCCTGCCACTCCCCCTCCGCTCACAGCCACACGCACATCCGGGACTCCCAGGGACCTAGCGGGGCTTTACTGCGGGTTGGCTGTGTTGGCGGTTAGGTGAGCACACTACGCTGGGCGTCAGAAACCAGGGTCTTAGATCACACCTCCCTCCTGAGTCCCCCGCTGGCCTGGACTAGCCTCTTCCCATAGCCCTCCCTGCGCCTATCTGGAAGGTGTCCGGTGTGTGTTTTGCTAGATCCCACAGGGAGAAGTCAGAGAGTGACATGAGAGGGGTGTGCGCGTGGGGCTGCGTGTGCCCCAGGCCAGGGAGGACCTCTGGGTTTCAGCACCGCTGACTGGATTCCCCTGGTCTGGCCCGGGTCCAGCCTCTCGTGTATCTGCAGCCTTGCCTGGGGGGACAGGGCGGGGTGGGGTGCGGGGAACGGACAGGAAAAACCTTGTCCCTCGACGTACTACAGTCTGCAGGAAAACCGTCATAAATACACAGGTCTATTGTGAACAGAGAGCCAGAAGGGCACCCCCAGAGTTGAGCACAGTTGTGGCAGCCTGCTCCAGTCCTAGGGGCCTAGGCCTCGTGCTCACCTCCATCTCCACACGTAGCCGGGTCGGCCGTCTGGACAGCCGGTGGATGTGTTCGTTCCCCAGCCAGAAGTCCCCACGGATGCTGCCAAAGCCCTGCTTGTACTGCTTCCAGTCCCGGTAGAAGGAGACAAGGCCGCTCTTCCGTCTCTGAATGATGGTCCAGCCGCCACCTGCCGTCTCCATGTCACAGAACACCTGCGGCAGAGAGGTTGCTCTGGTCAGGGGCCCACAGAGGCAGGCAGGGGAGCGTGGGGGCGGGCCGCACCACCTTCCTCCCATTTCTGCAGAGCCAGTGGATGTGTGCACTTCCAGTCACGCTGGCTCCCAGTGGCGACTGGTCTGCCGTGTTGGCGAGCGGGAGCAGAGTGACGGTTTGCTGAGGAGGAATTTGGAAAGTCGGGGCTGGGGGCAAGTGCACATATAGTTGAAGAGAAGAAAATCCATGTGTGCTCTCAACATGTTCTCCCTTTTCTCCTTCCCCAAAGAATAACTGCTCTAGGTGTGGCAAGAGAGGTCAACTAGTTGGGTGGAGATTATAGAATTGTCTAATCTATGTTAGAAGATTTGGTGCTTGGTTGATAATAATTTGAAGGGGCAAAACAGATGTGTGGGGTTCCTCCCCACCCCCAAAAAAATGGAGTGTGTGGATTTGGTATGTTTGATTCTCTGTCTTGAGTTTCCCTTTGCTTAGACTATGACTAGTCCTTGGCCCAGCTCTGGGAGGGGGTGGAGGACAGGTGGGAGCGCACGGGCAGTGGGCTCTGCTGACCTCACCTCCAGCTCGGGGCTGCCCAGAAAGTCATCGGGAGGAAGCTTGTACACTCCAGAGATGCGGTAGTTCTTCTGGTAGAGGGACGAGCAGTCATAGATGGCATCTGCAACAGGAGCAAACCGCACGGGTGAGCATCCAAACCCAGGGGCTCCACGGTGGTGGGCATTTGTGCTGTGTCTCAGTTGGAAGTTTACAACCGAGATTTCATTTCTACCATGAAACTCAGATGAGTGTTCATTACAGTGTCTAGAGTTTGGAGCGGCGTGGGCATCGGGAGACTAAAAAAGGAGTATACTTTGGCTTCACTGGTAGTGGGGCAGAGGGGTGGGGAAGCCCTCCATCTGGGTAGCATCAGTGGACAATCAAACAGGTGGTTTCAGGTTAACTCTGAAATAGATTATCCTGCTGAGGTTCTAGGCCATGAATTCTGGAAACACTCCGATGTGTGAGGGCTGCATAACAGATGGTCTGTTTAACAAATACAGCTTCTGGGACAGCCAGTCTCTCTTACCACATAAGTCATGAGTATCTCACAGGGTCTGGTTCGGTGGTTCTCCTGGTTGGTTGGTTTGTGCGATGGTGGTTTTTCAGAGGTAACGGCTGTTTTTACCTATGAGAATGGCTATTTTTATCTAGACTGCCTACTAGGACCCTAATAAAGGGAGCTAGATTTCACATCTGGTTTTCCCCTCCCTCATCTTAACACTGCTCAATTCTCAAATGGAGATGCAAACACTCTGAGGAATGCTTGGAGGCCTTCCCTGGCAGCATTATTAAAACAAGCAAACGAGAGCTGGTTTGGACAGGCTGGTTTTCACTCGGGTTGATTTAAATGCCTCCTTGGCTGCCTGGGGGGCTACTGCTTTATGCCAGATTTTGTCTCCATTTTGCAAATCTCCAAGAGCACAGTGGAAGAAACCACCTTAACTGATAGGGTGGATTCAAAGAGCAGGAACTTTTGCTAGCCAGGAGATGCTTCCCACCCTCTGTGTCTGGGATTCTTGTCTTGGTGGCCCCTGCCCTGAGCCTTCAAGAAGAACATGCTGATGGCGGCACGTCCACCAGGAGCCTTCCCAGGTGGAGCACGTGTCGGGAGGGGGCGGAGAGACTTCACTTTCTGTTAGGATGAAAGCATCAGCTTACTGCTTTCTCTGCTGGGCTACCTGCTGTACACAGTATGAAGGTGCCCCAGCAGCTGGTAATAGAGAAGAAAATTGAGGGATGATTTTCTGGGCAGGACGGGGAGCAGGCACAGCAGGAGAACTGCCTTTGGCCCCCCAAGAAACTCCCTGCTGGGAGGGCAGGAAATCCCCACTGGAGGAGCAGGAGGCGGTGCAGGCACAGGCACAGGCAGGTTCCCGGCTGGCCCGCTCTCCCGCGGGGCTGGTTTCATCTCACGGGCCAGATCAGGACACGCTTGTCTGGAAAATGTTTCAGAGGTAACTAACTACAAAGGACACCTTTCTAGCCCCACACTGAGGGGCAGGAAGTCATGCTTAGAAAGCGATTTATACTTGGTGGTTTATTAGTAACGGGATGTCGAAGCCTAATTTCTTTCCTTTGAACAGAGAGTAACCAGTGACTTACTCTGTTCTGTGTCCTGACTTGGTCTATGATGTGACCAAAAGTTTTTATATCAGCAATAAGTGACATAGCTGTGGGATATTCTTCTTGTGAGTAATGATTTCTTGATGATTGTGGAAACCCGGATCTCTTCTCTCTGAACAGTAAATTCACCTGGGCCAGTCTAAGGCAATCTAGCTAGAAACAAACTTGTTTTAGAAAAGAAAACATGAAGTGTATCTTATTTTGGGGCTCCTGAAAATCCAGATCTCAGCTTCGTGTTTTCTTATTTTCTGTGGTGGGAGAATTTTATTTGAGATCATGGGAAAAAATAGAAATCTCAGAAGCAAAGAACCCCAAGGATCCCGTCCTCTCCTAAACACAAAGTAATTCTTCATCTGGCCCTGGGCAGCATCTACACCTGATCCTGAGCCAGTGGGAAGAGTCAGGTTTGCAGACAGGACGCACAAATCCATTAATGCCGGTTCCACTAAATCTTAGGGACACGAGAGAAATGTTTTTGGCAGAACTTGGCTTCAGGAGCAACAGATGTTACAGTTCTGGTGTTCATGCCTGCGTCCCTGGGTCTGAGGATACAGCCTGTCAGCTCTGGCTAAGGAAGCAGGTCAATCAGGGAAACCTAAACCCTGTTTCTAAGACCTGCAGTGTGACTCCGGGCGATCTAGGTCATCTCTCTGCGCCCCGGGATGGCATATAAACCTTTCATCTGCTGAAATATGGTGTGAGTAAAAGAGATGGTGCAGACACTGGGTAAATTTAAAGAAATTAACAGAGCATTAGAGCCGGTGACACGTACCCAGGAAAGTATACCCCAAGGAACCCCCTGTCATGGATCTGATGGCCAAGGTATCTAGAAACCATGCTACAGGCAGAGACGCTCAGTGGTTTGGGCAGGAAGATGATGGGTAGCGTGAGGACATGTTCTCCTTACCTGCGGAGGTCTGGGTGACAGTCTGGGCTGCCTGCAGCTGCATGATGTCGATCTGGTTGTTCATTTCCGAGTACTTGCTCTCCGCATCTCTGAGCCGGGACTCCATGCGCTTGGTGCTGCTCTCCAGCTCCATCACCTGCATGACCACGCTGACCCAGTCCCTCTCCTGCTTCTTGCTCAGTTCACTCAGCAGACTGGTTAGATTGGCGATCTGGGCCTTGAGCTCCTTGGCCTCCTCACAGCAGGTGGCCACCTTGAGCTGCCCAGGTGTCTTGCGCTTCAGGGGCTTCTGTGGCCACGCCGGGTGGCTGACAAACACCATGATGAAAATGCAGAGCCAGGTCACAGCCGAGAGAGTGTTTTTCAGCATCTTTCTCGGGCCTGGGTGAGGAACGATCTTCCTTCGGGGGATCTGGGTATGCCCAGCTGGGGTCTGCAAAGCCGGAGCAAATTACAGCTGTGCACTTTCTCTCTGGATGGGCTCACTACCCTGTTGCTTTCTCTTCCCTGTCTCTTTCTTAGCCTTGCTCAAAGCTTGAGTTTAAAAGTACAGGTTAATTGGACTCCCTATACCCTTCCTCCTCAAGCCTGAGCGCTCTACAGACTCAGCATCTTAAATATTGTCTGCTGCCTGCACCTCCACCCCCACTGTGGCCCATGCATGGCGCTCTAGCCCCTCCCAGCTCATCTGGGAGGGTCAGGTGCCTGCTGGGTGAAGTCAGCGTAAACTTAGGCCAGAGGGGAGGAGGGAGACAGGGGCGAGTCTTTCTTTCCTTGCCTGCTTAGTCTCGGGGCTGAGACAAGAGGACTGTGAATTTGTGTGTTTCCAATTTCGCCTATTAGATTATGCCCCTGCCAGCCACTGGCTCAGCTCTATCAGCGAGCAGGGCAGGGTCAGAAGAATTTCCAAATTCCATTCTCAAGGTTACATAACCATGGGGTGAGGGTAAGGTAGGCAGAGAGCGTTGGGAATAAGACTCCCCGCTCACCCGGGGAGGCCTGTTAATGTAATCCACGCTGTTTATATGAGGATCTGGTATATTTTGGCATCCTGCTGAGCGTGCTGTTAGCAAGGCTGGTTATTCCTTTCTCTGATCATCATTCAGTGTTTTACAAAACCCCCATTGTACCTAGATCTAACACTGTGTCACATTTGAAAATCTCCAACTTAGAAGAGCTCTAGAAATAGAGTAAGCCTCTGAGGAGGCAGAAAAAGACTTTGTAGTTCGTGTCCAACAGGATTTACTCAGTTGCCTCTTTACATTCTTTCTCCCTCACCAGTGGCCTAGCGTTAGCTTCTCACACTTGGCATTTGGCAAGGAAGTGTTGGAGAGGGCAGCAGGGACGAAAACTCAGGAGTGCTGGACGTGGTTCGTTCTGGGACGGTGGCACACGCTTCATCAGTCTGTAGGCCTAACGGAGAACAGGCCCATCCTCGTCCTATGATTCGATTCGAAACTTGGAAAGTACATTAAATCATCGGGAGAAGAATCCCCGTCACCTAATAAATCCCTATCTACAGTCTCATTGCCCTCTTCCTGTGCCTTACAGTCTGCAGATCTGCAGCTGTTCTCTCTGTAGGATATATATCCCTGAAAACAGGGTCACTGTCACTTTTCATGCACTGTATTTGAAGGGCACTACTCCTTGGAAGACAAATGAGAAAAACCTGGGATTTTAGCAAACCTTAAAATGCCTCAAATGAGCCTTTCACTGAGAATGTATGCAGAGGCCCCTCTGTCCTCAGACAGTAACTAACTCTGTCTTTGGAACATCACTCTCGCCATTTCCCTGATACAGAGCCACTGAGGCAGTCCTTGTGCTGGTGCCGTGCGGTGCGGCTCCGTCACGCACAAGCCCGATGCCTGACCGCCTGCCTTCCCTGCCGGGATCCCCTGGAATCTTCTTCCAAATGAGACGTCTGTCCAGGCGGCTAGAGTTACTGCGCAGTTTTTTCCCCTCTGACTCAAAAAGCATTAGGGTTCGGGTAGATCTGGATGGTTTGCGCCCTCCCTGGTCTCCTTGCCCTCGGAGGGGTGAGGATGTGGCTGGCGCCCTACGGCAGCCTGTCATTCCACTCAGAAGCCCGTCCAGAGGCAGCAGCTAGTCCCTGCTCTCTTTTGGCAAATGCCCCCCCCCCCCCCCCCCCCCCGGCTGGGCTCTCTAATCTCCCCCGCGGAGTTCACGTCACTAACGCGAACCCAGCCCCGCCGTCCGCATCCGACGTCCGCATCCGACGGCCTGCCGAACCCGCGCCGCGGGGGATCTTCGGGTCAGCCTCGTAGCCAACAGCTGACACAGCTTGTGCCGAGTCCCGCAGCTGCGTGCGGAGCGTCCCGTGTGAGCCGCTGTCTTAGCGCTGCCGCACAGCAACACGGTAGACGGTCCCAGGGAACGGTGGACCTCTACGGGGTCCCCGCCGGCTTTCTGTTTGTTCTTCCCAGTGGCCGCTTCCCCAGCCCAAACAGGAAACGGTTATGAATAGATTCTCATATTTGGGCAGAAAGTGAATCAGTCATTTGTATTTGCAGCCCATGTAGCAATCCTTTCTGGGGGTTCGTGAGTTTGGATCAGAAGCGTCTAGCTGTTAGCATGAATGCCTGCTCTCTGACATTTGTTTTTCTGAAAACCAGCTTCTAACATGAGGCCTAAGTTGGAGACAGAGGCTTTCCTTATTCGAACATGTTCTTACATCACCCGAGCTGCCCAAATGTCAATAAGCTCCCCCTCAAATTAAAGAATTTAGCAGACCAAGAGTGGTCCCTTGCCAGATTATCCATCCTCCAAACATCCATAACGCTGCGATGTCCTAGATTCTGAGTCTCTGAAAGAAGGAAAAGTAAACCCTTGTTTTGAGTACAGCTAAGCCAGTAGACAGAACCAGGAAGGATGTGGGGGACTGGACCGGTTTTCCTTCTCCAGGACGCTCTTACTCCCTTCTCTGCCCTTCATGAATAAAGTGGCCATGAAAATGGGAATTAAGTGAGAAAATTAGGAAAGCCTGTGTTGGACACCTTGAAGTTTTTCCTTTTCTCTATTTTGCTGGTGGTGAAAGAGGGTGAGCTCGGTGTTCCTGGGAAAGATGTTTATGAAAATCAAGCTCATATTCCTAATGAGAGAAGCCAGTGAGCTTTTACTTAGCCTGGAAGTTCTCAGAAACCCCACAGTCTGGGCCACGCGGCCTTGGGCTGGCACCAAGGACTAGAGGCGTTCGGGCGGCCCGAGGAGCACAGAGCAGGGGAGGGCCTGGGGGTGGTCTCTCCTTCTACCCAAATGGAAGTGTCGTGTCTCATTTTCTTGAAAATGTCCCCATTGGAGAGACTCCTCCCTTTCTAGCATATTCCTGTCCCTGCCTGCTCTTAAACCGCTACTCGCAAAATTGGTGAGGGAAGGAAATCGCTGCCCTCAGAACCAGACTCTGTTGAACGAATCCCTCTCAGAAGAACCTGCCTTGCTGTCAGATCAATTGTGTGCTGAGTGGGGATGTTCTGCTTCTCCTGTAGCCTGGTAACAGGTGTCCGCGGCCACCTCATACCCGACCCTTCCGTCTCTCAGTCCTGTTCTGTCCCGGGGGAAGGCCCACATCCATCCCAGAAGGTATGGCCATCTCTTCCCTAAGCTGCTCACTCGTCACTTCTACCAAACAGCGCACCCCAGACGGACAGTTAGGAATGGTTTCTCCCCGGCCTCCTCCTAGAGTCCGCTGTTCGTCGTAGCCCCTACCCAGGAGTCTTCCTCTGTCCTCCCCCGGGCTTTGTGGCAAGCAGCCGTCCTGTGAGCCAGCAGAGCCTGCAAGCTGAAGGGGGCATGGTGAGCAGGTGCAGCTTTGTGGAAGACCTTGACTTGGTAGGAAGACACAAGTCGTTGGACGTGGCTTAGGAGTCGGGGGCCGGGGGGGGACAGCTAAAGCCGGAGAGGTGGGGGGGAGCCAGGCGTGAGGGACGGGATTGCTGCTCTGGAGACAGAGGGAGCTCTGGAAGGAATCTAAGCAGCCTTTACCTCTTGGTGCTCTGTTTTCCTGAGTCTCACTGGGAAAGTGGCTTTTTGTAGTTGCCAAACAAGATTTTTTAACTGGAAATGAATGGCTTAGAACATTAGAATTTCTTGAAATTGTAACGCAATCATATTAAATGCCCTGAAGGGATCATCTGGTTTGAGGATTAGGGAGGCCGTATGTGAAGGACTTGAAATGGTTGGGTGGGTCTAGAATCCGCCAAATCTGGGTTCTAATCCCTTCCCATCATTTGATAGTTATGTGACCCTGGGCAAATTATTTCTCAGAGGTTTACAGATCTGTGCCTTGGAGATGAAAATCATAACTACTTTACCTCACAGGACTTTTAGTTAAATAAAGTAAAGGATTAAAATAGTTAAGACAGGGGCACCTGGGTCGCTCAGTGGTTTAGCGCCTGCCTTCGGCTCAGGGCATGACTCCGGGGTCCCGGGATCAAGTCCCACGTCGGGCTCCCTGCATGGAGCCTGCTTCTCCCTCTGCCTGTGTCTCTGTCACTGCCTCTGTCTCTCTTGACTCTCATGAATAAATAAATAAAAAATCTTAAAAAAAAAAAAAAAAGCGGGGGTAGCCAACTTAAAGAGTGGCAAGAGTGGGATCCCTGGGTGGCGCAGCGGTTTGGCGCCTGCCTTTGGCCCGGGGCGCGATCCTGGAGACCCGGGATCGAATCCCACATCGGGCTCCCGGTGCATGGAGCCTGCTTCTCCCTCTGCCTGTGTCTCTGCCTCTCTCTCTCTCTCTCTGTGACTATCATAAATTTAAAAAAAAAAAAAAAAAAGAGTGGCAAGAGATGTCAGTTGACACTTCATAAAAGAGGGTCTCCCCCAGGCCAGTGAACGCTTGTTAGGCATGACAGAAATTCAGATGCAAACTATCACATGCCACCACCAAACCAACTAAAATGGCTACGCTGGAAAACACTGACAGTACAAGTGTTGACAAAGATGTGGAGCAGTTGGGATTTTTTTTTTTAAGATTTTATTTATTCATGAGAGAGAGAGAGAGAGAGGCAGAGACATAGGCAGAGGCAGAGGGAGAAGCAAGCTCCATGCAGGGAGCCTGACATGGGACTCAATCCCAGGTCTCCAGGATCACGCCGTGGGCCCTGCTGCCTGGGATTTTTTTTTTTTTTTAAGATTTTATTTATTTATTTATTCATGAGAGACATAGAGAGAGGCAGAGACACAGGCAGAGGGATAAGCAGGCTCCACGCAGGGAGCCCAATGCAGGACTCGCTCCCAAGACCAGGGTCACGACCTGAGCCAAAGGCAGGTGCTCAACCACTGAGCTCCCCAGGTGTCCCAGCAGTTGGGCTTTTCATATACTTCCCATGGAAATGTAGATTGAGAGAACCACTTTGGAGAGCAATTTGCCAGTGTCCTCGAAAGCTGAACACACCCGTAGCCCAGCAGCGCTCCTCTAGGTACAGTCCCAACAGAAATACGAGCACACTTGCACCAAAGATACGTACAAGAAGGGATCCCTGGGTGGCGCAGCGGTTTGGCGCCTGCCTTTGGCCCAGGGCACGATCCTGGAGACCCGGGATCGAGTCCCACGTCGGGCTCCCGGTGCATGGAGCCTACTTCTCCCTCTGCCTGTGTCTCTGCGCCTCTCTCTCTCTCTCTCTCTCTCTCTCTATCATAAATAAATTAAAAAAAAAAAAGATACGTACAAGAACATTAGTAGGAACGCCGCTCGTAGTAGCCAAGAGCTGAGAGCCACCTCAGTGCCCACCTGCCACAGGACGGGGAGGT